AAGATTCCTTTTTCTTCACTTACTTTTTTAGCATTTATTAAACATGCTTGCAGGTGTGGAATCCGTAGAGGGGGGGGGGGGGGGGGGTGTTAAGTTTCAGAATAGACTTGTTTGATGTGAATATCTAGTAACTTACAACTTAATTTGATTAACACAATTTGATCCGTTATTGTCAACAATATTTTTCTATAAATATTTTTTATAACTGTTCAGAATTACTTTTACTCCTTTCATGTTTCTTCTGTGTAAACTAGTTTACATTTGCACATTGTGGGAAGAGGAAAACTGGAGGGAAAGAGATGTAGAGGGAGACAAGAGAGAAGATTTTGGACAGTTTGTCGTCATGGACAAGAACATATGTGTCAGACAGACTTGATAGTACAGGAGCCAGTGGTTTATGGCTAGACTTGATTACTGATGCCACGCTGCATTACTGATGCCACGCTGCGTTACTGATGCCACGCTGCGTTACTGACGCCATGCTGCGTTACTGATGCCATGCTGCGTTACTGATGCCACGCTGCGTTACTGATGCCATGCTGCGTTACTGATGCCATGCTGCGTTACTGATGCCACGCTGCGTTACTGACGTTATGCTGCGTTACTGATGCCATGCTGCGTTACTGACACCATGCTGTGTTACTGACGTCATGCTGTGTTACTGACGTCATGCTGTGTTACTGACGTCATGCTGTGTTACTGACGTCATGCTGTGTTACTGACGTCATGCTGCGTTACTGACGTCATGCTGTGTTACTGACACCATGCTGTATTACTGACGTCATGCTGTATTACTGACGTCATGCTGTGTTACTGACACCATGCTGTATTACTGACGTCATGCTGTGTTACTGACACCATGCTGTATTACTGACGTCATGCTGTGTTACTGACACCATGCTGTATTACTGACGTTATGCTGTGTTACTGACACCATGCTGTATTACTGACGTCATGCTGTGTTACTGACATCATGCTGTATTACTGACGTCATGCTGTGTTACTGACACCATGCTGTATTACTGACGTCATGCTGTGTTACTGACGTCATGCTGTATTACTGACGTTATGCTGTGTTACTGACACCATGCTGTATTACTGACGTCATGCTGTGTTACTGACGTCATGCTGTGTTACTGACGTCATGCTGTGTTACTGACGTCATGCTGTGTTACTGACGTCATGCTGTGTTACTGACGTCATGCTGTGTTACTGACGTCATGCTGCGTTACTGACGTCATGCTGTATTACTGACACCATGCTGTATTACTGACGCCATGCTGTGTTACTGACGTTATGCTGTGTTACTGACGTTATGCTGTGTTACTGACACCATGCTGCGTTACTGACACCATGCTGTGTTACTGACGCCACACTGCAGGGACTGTAGGTCACTAGCTACAAAGTCCAGCCAGTCATGATAAGTATTCTTAGGGCTTACTGCAGGGTGTTTGAAAAACTCTCTGCCACTCAGACACAGGCTCTAATGTAGGGTGTTTGAAAACCTCTCTGCCACTCAGACACAGGCTCTAATGTAGGGTGTTTGAAAACCTCTCTGCCACTCAGACACAGGCTCTAATGTAGGGTGTTTGAAAACCTCTCTGCCACTCAGACACAGGCTCTAATGTAGGGTGTTTGAAAACCTCTGTGCCACTCAGACACTGGCTCTAATGTAGGGTGTTTGAAAACCTCTCTGCCACTCAGACACAGGCTCTAATGTAGGGTGTTTGAAAACCTCTCTGCCACTCAGACACAGGCTCTAATGTAGGGTGTTTGAAAACCTCTCTGCCACTCAGACACAGGCTCTAATGTAGGGTGTTTGAAAACCTCTGTGCCACTCAGACACAGGCTCTAATGTAGGGTGTTTGAAAACCTTTCTGCCACTCAGACACAGGCTCTAATGTAGTGTGTTTGAAAACCTCTCTGCCACTCAGACACAGGCTCTAATGTAGTGTGTTTGAAAACCTCTCTGCCACTCAGACACAGGCTCTAATGTAGTGTGTTTGAAAACCTCTCTGCCACTCAGACACAGGCTCTAATGTAGTGTGTTTGAAAACTTCTCTGCCACTCAGATACAGGCTCTAATGTAGGGTGTTTGAAAACCTCTCTGCCACTCAGACACAGGCTCTAATGTAGGGTGTTTGAAAACCTCTCTGCCACTCAGACACAGGCTGTAATGTAGGGTGTTTGAAAACCTCTCTGCCACTCAGACACAGGCTCTAATGTAGGGTGTTTGAAAACCTCTGTGCCACAAACTGGAGTCGTGCTGTCAGCCAACCTGTTGAAGCCAGAGTTGAACTATTTTTTTTTTCAAGACATGACATTTTTTTCTCTGTTGTTTTTGATTTGTTGAATGATGTTGAATTAAGAAATGACATCACAGTACGCTGAACACTCCCATAAGTGCTCCATCCCCATCTTCAGCAGCAAGCGAAGAGTTCTAATTATGATGGCACCAGTAACCGTCTGATTGTATATTCGTCTCATCCCTCCCCTGAGTGTCGAGTGTCGGCCAGATCCCCTGGTAACTCCTTGCAGCGCCATTCTCCTCAGACCATACTGATTTTGTTAAAACAAATGAAGCAATTTAAGTAATTTCAAATATAAGCCTTATCATGACTGTTATAATCAATCAAATAATTACAAAGAATCAAATAATTACCTGTTCTGTAAATGGTCTATTAGAATCCTTCCTGGCAAGGACATTGAAATCTCTTGACCATTCAACAGAAACACCACAACAATAGTGTTCAGCTTTTGTAATTGATCCAGTCAGGGACACACGTTTCTATTTATTGCATTAAAATATATAAGATCTGTTATGTTAAAGTAAGATTTATTACATTAAACAGTCATTCTATAATCTGCTATTTTGACTTTCATGTTTTGATTTCCAGTTTAAAGTTGCCACTGTTTAAATTCAACCTGGCTTAAACAAACAACTGAAAGTCAAGGGTACAGCTACTGTACAGCTGACAGACAAGTGTACAGCTACTGTACAGCTGACAGACAAGTGTACAGCTACTGTACAGCTGACAGACAAGTGTACAGCTACAGTACAGCTGACAGACAAGTGTACGGCTATTGTACAGCTGACAGACAAGTGTACAGCTACTGTACAGCTGACAGACAAGTGTACAGCTACTGTACAGCTGACAGACAAGTGTACAGCTGACAGACAAGTGTACAGCTACTGTACAGCTGACAGACAAGTGTACAGCTACTGTACAGCTGACAGACAAGTGTACAGCTGACAGACAATTGTACAGCTACTGTACAGCTGACAGACAAGTGTACAGCTACTGTACAGCTGACAGACAAGTGTACAGCTACAGTACAGCTGACAGACAAGTGTACGGCTACAGTACAGCTGACAGACAAGTGTACGGCTACTGTACAGCTGACAGACAAGTGTACAGCTACTGTAGGGCTGACAGACAAGTGTACAACTACTGTACTGCTGGTAGACAAGTGTACAGCTACTGTACGTCTGACAGACAAGTGTACAGCTACTGTAGGGCTGACAGACAAGTGTACAGCTACTGTACGAACTTTAAGCATGAAGATGATGTTACAGACCTACTATTATCTGACGACCGGGTACTCATAGTAAAAAGTATGAAATGCCTACAGAACAAACCCAGTTTTAAACTTATGACAAAGGGGAGGAATATAATATGAAAATAAACACTACGAAGACAGAGACACTGGTGATGGGAAAACAGAAAGACAATTTAGAAATGAAATTTAAAAACACTTTAAGATAGAGGAATTTAAGTATTTGGGAGCAATTTTTACATCCAACGGAAACCTGGACAGATAAATTAGCTCGAGATGTGCCAAAGCCAATCAAGTAATGGAGCAACTATCTCCACTGTTGACACACTAGCAGATACCCCTGAGTACTAAAGTGAATCTTTTCAGAACTATTTTTTGGCCAACACTATGCTATCAATGCCAGACGTGAACACTTACATCCTCCAATGAACGTAAAATTGTGATAACAGAGATGGAATGCCTTAGAAGAGCTGCATGAGATTCAAGGAAAGACAGATTACGAAATCAGACGAATGGTAGGAATAAAGCCAGTCTTACAGGTCATCAAAGAACAACAAATGAAGTGGTTTGGACACCTAACAAGAATTTCCTGGTACTATCTGCCACAGCGAGCCACACTAAAACGTTACAACGGGTATAGACTAGCGAGTGGAAGATCTCAGAAAATATGGAGTGATGGCATTAAGAACAGCCTTACAGAAATGAACATCAGTTCTAATAGTTCTCTTGACAGAACTTATCAACGAATGTTACGCCCCCACCCCCGTTCCCCCCAACACTTCGCTGAGGTACAAGGTGGAAGAGAAGAAGAGGAAGATTAGGATTAGAAAAGATTATCACAGCACTCTGGACAGATCCGCAGGTGCACCGATCTCTTCAAAAGGTCCAAGAGTATAAAACGAACGATGAGCCTGTTCTGTGTTGATTAATCAAAGTCTTGTTGCCTTAGTGAAATGTTTATTTCTTGCAGCTCCATGTCCATCGGCCTAGACAGGGATACGGAGTCATGCCCTATGAGCCATCTTTCTCAGAAACCCCATCCCCACCGTCTCCAAGCATGCGCACCATTTACCGTGCAATGCATGGATTGTGTGTGTGTGTATTAGCGTGCTTTGTCGTGTAAATCATTACTGTCGTAGACCTAGTGCAGAAACTGGTTACAACATTCTAATCTTGAGCTCACAGTTTTCATAAGTTGACTAAATATATACATTAGAAGGATAACTGTTCAGTATCGGATGTCGCTGAAATCTTCTACCACCTACGACAAAATGTGCGTACTACTATCTTGATGTGAGCAACAATAATAATGAAAAAAGAAAACGAAAATGGATTTCCAAGGCATTTATGATATTACACCATTTCATGACGGTATGTATGTGCACATGGATTACAGTGTTATTTTCGCGTTTCATTAGCAAACGTATAGGAACTTAGACAGAATGTATGCCAGGTTGGCCTGTTTGTGTCTGTGGATACAGTCAGTTTTAAATTTGGCAGATTGTAACCTGCACTCAAAATTCAAGGAATTCGACGAGCTGACACCAGATAATTTTACTGTGGTTGTAAAAAGAAATGCCGTTTCTGGACAAGCACATATGAAAATAGTGACTTTCTTCGCGCTGAAAAAATATTTTGTTCTGCATCTCGTGCCCGGGTCACCAGTGTTACGGAAAGATTTCCAGGCCCACATGGTGGACGGTGACGGAAGAATAACCCCGGTTCACGTCGATCAGCAAATATTCTATACTGGCTATCTTAACGGCAACCCACAGCACAGTGTGGATGCTGTACATACGGACGACGTGTGGATAGCTCAGATCCACAGCCCAGACGATGTGTATTCCATTGAGCCACTCACTCATCACGTACCAGACTCGCCTGCCACTTTGATGCTCATCTTTAAACAGCGAGATATTAATAGTTCAATCTTCAATGGCTATAGCCATGATAATGCCACCTTACATCCTTTCTGTGAGGAAGTGCAGTTTAAACAATATCCGTTGTCAGATTCGCTTGCAGTTAAACAAAGAAGCCACATCAAGAAGAATACTTCAGTAAAAACAAGCCCACATACAAGAAAAGCTAGACAAAGTGAGAGGGACATTAACAGTCAATTAAGAGATAACATATTCATGGAAAATCGACATTCAGAAACACACTTGTCCAAAGACAACCATTCTAAAGTGCAGTTCATGAAACACCAAGACCTTTGGAAAAGATCAAATTTCCAACGCAAATTTACCACACACGACACGTGCGAAATGCTCGTCATCGCGGATTTCGAAGCCTACAAAGGTATTGGACAGAGCAGTATTTTCCGGATGATATCGATCTTCGTCTTCCTCTACCAGTCGCTAGATCGAATATATAGAGCCACGTATTTTGGCATTTTAAGAAACCTTGGCATCGTTATTGCCAAATTTATTGTGCACACCGAATATACCGCTGTAGTTGACAACAACCATTACAATATGGCCAAAAATAAAATGTCTGGGATAGATACTTTGGTGGCTATGGCTAGGGTTTCCAACTTTAGCAACTTCTGTCTGGTACATCTGACCACCCAGAGACATTTCGGAGGGACGCTGGGCGTGGCGGCCACGGCTGAGGAGTTCAGTGACGCCTGGGGTAACGGGATATGTGCCATGAGTTTGATGGAAGCCCGCAACATCGGTCTGAGCACCCCAATCACGGCTAAAGGACAGGTCATGCCATTCACAGTAAGTCAACTACAATGAGGGCCCTGTTGACGCCAATGGCATCTTGGGCGCATGATGCTAAATATTTCATATTACTCATTTTGTTTTTCACACACATTGTAACGTATTTACAGATCATGCTAAGAAAGGTGGAGACAGGTATGCTCCTTGCAAGGTGGCAAGCATCGCTTCATAGGTACCTAGTAGTTCGCGTCCTTTGGTTATTTTTCCAGGTAATGTCGGTATGTTAGAAAACAAACACTTGGATAAACTGGCTGGTGTTTCGCACCACTTGGGATGTAAGACTTGTTTTAAATTACTCATATTTTCTTAAGACATGGTGCCACATGTTTTCATATTACTCATATTTTCTTAAGACATGGTGCCACATGTTTTATATTACTCATATTTTCTTAAGACATGGTACCACATGTTTTATATTACTCATATTTTCTTAAAACATGGTACCACATGTTTTATATTACTCATATTTTCTTAAAACATGGTGCCACATGTTTTATATTACTCATATTTTCTTAAGACATGGTGCCACATGTATTTATATTACTCATTTTTAAATTGACTTACAGGCAACCGACTTTTAACGTCTCATCGTGCAGGCAAGTCTTACATCCCAAGAAGTTTCCTGGTATCCATTATAAAAAGAAAAAGTTACAACCCATTGAAATAAAGTCCCATGCAGTAGATTGTTTCAGTACGGCCCAGATCTTCGAAATGACGCCCCTAAAAGCTACGTGGTGTCAGATTCGAAAGTTCAAATTGTATTTTGATTTTGATGCTGATGTCGCCCCCTTACCATGCCGCCTGATGCGATCGCATGTTTGTATCATAGCAGGGCACGATCCTTCATTCAGAAGACACTCCTGAAGATCCCTTTAACCTGCTCACGTGAAAGTAACAGAACCTTATTTATAGATAGTGAACTAGACACAACAGACACTTCAGCCATTTATACCAGATATTTAAGATCTTTACCCGTATGGATAGCCAGTAAACAAGTTCTACATTTCAGACATTCTTTCTACATGCAGTAAAGACCTCCCAGGTCTGGCCAGCTCGCATACAGGCGGAACCCAAGGTGCATGAACACTGGAGGACATGAAAGCACCAGAGACTTCATAGAGAACTGTGGCTTTCTCATCTGAAAACCCCTGGCAAGGGAGAAGGGAAAGAACCTCATGAAGTAGTGTACCTTCTAGAGGCAGTGGCGACCACGTACCCCTGGTCAGTTACAAAAATCGGTTGCTCTGAAGATTCGAACTAAAGGTATAGCCGCCAGAACCTGGAGACCAAAGCCCTTTGAGTCACTCCCATGTTCATCTAAACAAATGTGTAAGAGGCGTAACGACCCCCCCCCCTTTTTTTTTTCTGTTTTCTTGTTGCCGGTGCCCTGATTCATGATAGATGTCCTCTTATGTGATGTATGATGTGTGATGTGGGATGTATGATGTGTGAACTTTTTTTCTACAATAAAAACTGACTGCTATGATTCGCTTGCAGCCACTCTTTGTCTCTTTTCCTTATTGTACACTCTCTCAGAGTCTGGTTCGTCAATCGCTTTAGATTTTCTCCCACTTGTACACCTGTCTACCTCTTTCTCGGTGCCTACAACCAGTCCTTCCCCAATCTAATGATTTTTTTCAAAAAATGTTATGTCTTGTGATACGGCTGAAATAGTTCATTTCTTTCTATTTCTTTAAATATTTTATTTCATTACCAGTCTGTCTACAACCTCTCGGCTTCTGTTTTCAGCAAACACACTTCTGTATATTTACACATTCGATGCCAAAATATTGTTCATTGAACATCAAGGAAGGTTGGCTGGTAAACAGCATCTTGTCTTGGAAGCTGAAATATTTTAGCCATATAAAGTACCACAGAGGACAGGAATAAATAACAGAAGAATGACTGGAACAAGCAAGGAGGAAAAGGGCTATAAGAGTTCCTTGGCTATAAGAGTTCCTTGGCTATAAGTGTTCCTTGGCTATAAGAGTGTTCCTTGGCTATAAGAGTGTTCCTTGGCTATAAGAGTGTGCCTTGGCTATAAGAGCGTTCCTTGGCTATAAGAGAGTTCCTTGGCTATAAGAGTTCCTTGGCTATAAGAGTTCCTTGGCTATAAGTGTTCCTTGGCTATAAGTGTTCCTTGGCTATAAGAGTTCCTTGAATATAAGAGTGTTCCTTGGCTATAAGAGTTCCTTGGCTATAAGTGTTCCTTGGCTATAAGAGTTCCTTGGCTATAAGAGTGTTCCTTGGCTATAAGAGTTCCTTGGCTATAAGAGTTCCTTGGCTATAAGAGTTCCTTGGCTGCAAGTGTTCCTTGACTATAAGAGTTCCTTGGCTATAAGTGTTCCTAGGCTATAAGAGTTCCTTGGCTATAAGAGTTCCTTGGCTATAAGTGTTCCTTGGCTATAAGAGTTCCTTGGCTGTAAGTGTTCCTTGGCTATAAGAGTTCCTTGGCTATAAGAGTTCCTTGGCTATAAGAGTTCCTTGGCTATAAGAGTTCCTTGGCTATAAGAGTTCCTTGGCTATAAGAGTTCCTTGGCTATAAGTGTTCCTTGGCTATAAGAGTGTGGGTGCTTGTCTGTGAAAGACTAGTGGTTGATCTCCTGTCAGGCAAATTCACTCCGATTTCGAAGGAACAACCGCCAATTAGTTGGTTTTTACGACTGAAGGAGAGGGGTGGGGGAGGGTAGGGGATTGATCATAAACTTCGACTAAGTCAAAGACTGCGGCGACCTTCGGCTGGCTAGGACATCCTCTAACCACTTCGCCACGCGACTCCTATTTGTAAGATAAAACATCAGCTCAATATATTTCAGACGTACCTTCTAGTAATTGCTCATGAGCTTGGGCATAACTGGGGATCGCATCACGACCCCACAGACGACCCCGAGTGCAGCCCTTCCAGCGAGAACGGTGGGAAGTACATCATGTGGGCTTACTCGGGACACGCCTCCTCCTCCAACGCCAGGAAGTTCTCACCTTGTGCTAGGCGGGAAATTGCCAGGGCATTAAATGTAAGTAACCACTTACATACATGTAACCAGTTATACGTAAGTAACCACTTACATGTAGATAACAACTCACATGTAGATAATCACTTACATATGTGTTGCCAGTTACACGTAAGTAACCCCTTACATGTAGATAACCACTTACACGGGAAATCCCTAGCTTGAATCATGCAGAAATAATGGTCACATATATGCTACTTTTGTCCATTATCCCCCAGTTAAGCATGGGCCCTAAAGAGACTCATATCAAGTTACCCTATTTTTTTAAACTATCGTATACAGCTTCCCCCTATTTCTATTCTACAGAATAGCACTGTTATGGCACTACAGTTAAAAATTGGTAATATCAACAGCAAAATTATTCGTGTTTAAATGTAGTTAAACACAACGATTGTAATTTGATTTGATTTTATCACGGCACTCGGGGCATTCCCATAAGCGCTCCGTCCCCATCTTCAGCAGCTAGTTCTGATACTAATGTTGCCAGTAGCATTCTGACTAAACGTCCGTCTTGCCTTTCCTGCGTTTATGCCTCGAGCATCTGCCAGAACCTTTCGTCACTCCCCCTGCATCAATCTCACTACACTGTGGTGATCCATCTAATAATCCGAACTGTACACGCTCTCCCACAAGGCACTAACCACGTCTGCCTTTTATGCATCAACTTTCCACCAAGCTGTGCAGAGCCAGCCAGTCTGTCTGCCT